GCGAATATGAGACACGCTTGGGAGTCATGTTGATCAAGGATCTGCCTGCTAACATCCGACAGCCAGTGATGGAGCGACATCAGGGTGCCGAGCATCTGGTATCGACATTGCTTTTGTTGGAGGCGGTTATGGAACGGTTTTCGCCTGGCGGAACGGCGGAGATGACTTCCTTGTTGCAGTTTCAACGCGCGCTGCCTACCGCTGGTACTTTCAAGGAGCTTTTGGGAACTATTCGAAGATTTGAATTGGCGCGAGGCCGATCTGAGTTTTTGAAGCTGCCGCCCATCGCACCGCATGAGATTATCAGATCGTTGGAGGGACTCAGCAAGAACCTTGAGAAGCGTCATGCATCCCTGGCTATGCGTCTGAACCTGATCAGACTTACTCCTGAAATAGTGGTTCCTTCTGAGACTGGAGTGCAACGATTGCTGGCAACGCTGGTGCAGGAAGGACGGAGAATGCAAGCAGAGGATGAGGTGAATCGAAACCGCAAGGGCAACGATTTACTTGACGCTGACAAACAGACGAGCACGGCCTACCAGGCTAAGTCCTCAGGAAAAGGGGCAAAAGGAAGCAAGGGACAAGCAGACACAAGGACAATGCCGTGTGCCTACTTCAATTTGGATCGTGGGTGCTTGAAAGGAGACAACTGTCCATATCTGCATTCGACCTCCAAAGGTTCGAAAGGGAAGGGAAAAGGGAAGAATCAAGAGAGAAAGGGGTCCGACAACAACACCCCAGCAGTTGCTGAGGCCAAGACCGAGGCCAAAGCGAAGGCAAAATCGGAAGCCAAGGCCAAGAAGAAGGCAGAGGCCAAAGCTAAGGCAGCGGCAGCAGCAGCAGAGGGAACAGGAGCGGAAGCCAGAATGGCGTTGGTTGGGTCCGGGGCAGTGGCAGCCTCGGCTATGGCCACGGTGAAATCGGTGCATGAGGCTGGTGTGGAAGAATCAGGGTCTGAATTGTCAAGTATGGGCCGTTCTGACCCGGATTCCGACGCGCCTACTTCAAGTCTGGGATCGCCTGCCGAGCCATCAAGTGAGGAGGAGCCGGAGTTGCCGCCGCGCCCAATCATCGAACCAAGACTTTGGTATCTGGTCCTTACGCCTGCTGAGTTTGTTTATTGGTCCAGGCCCCGGCAAGTGATTTGCAGAGCCGCGCGAGAATTTCAAGAGTCCACTGGTCAGTTTGATGTGGCACGTGGTTTGTGGATGGTCTTCCAAGATCTAAATTTCGACTTCCCCATACAGGGCGAGCAGATTGGACCTGGACAGTTTGTGTTGAGTGCTCGCGAGGTGCTTTGCGAACATGCCGACAACATAATCCGACCTGTGGTGCTAGTGCATATCCTTGATTCGGACACTGGTCAGGAGCAAATGTTGGTGCTTGCAAACCATCAGGTATCCCCACGGGTTCGTCCTTGGAGATACTTTCAAGCACCTCTGGGTATCATGCGACCACTGCGCGAGGCTGCAGCTGACTTGCGAGGAATTCTCGCTCAGGAGGAGGCAGCGTTTGGATCCCGTGGCTATGCAGAGCGTTTCAGTAATCCTGATCCGGACGGATTTCCTCCAGCGAGAGCTCCTACAGTCCCTATGCCACCGGACGGGTTGGGACCAAGAGAAGAGCAAACAGGTCAAAACCCTAGCATCACAGCAGCAAGCCAGACAGTTCAAAATCCTGGCACAGCAGCAGCAATCCAGACAGGTCAAAATCCGGGCACAGCAGTAGCGATCCAAACAGGTCAAAATCCGGGCACAGCAGTAGCACAGACAGAACAACCTGTGGGCGCTGATGGGTCAAGGGTTTTGGATGCAGATACACCGTCAAGCCAGAGATCGCAAGGAGAGTACGCCACGGCAAGTATGGCCTCTACATCTGGCACAACGAAACCGCGGGATGACACTCTGGTGCTTGTTGACTCGGGCGCGAACGAAGTGGTGAGGCCGTACAGAAGCAACATCAGCAGAAAGGGGGCAATTACCATGCGCATTGTACTGGCATCAGGTGAAGTCGTGGGAGGGTTCAGAACTAGGGATGGCGAGGTCGTCTTTCAGTCAAATTCTTCCACTTCTGCAGACTGTGACCAAGAGTCCCATGGTGATTGGATTCTGGGTGTGATGCGTGTTACCGAAGTGGGCGGAGCCTTTCATTGGACAAACCAAGGAGCTACGTTGTCGTTTCCTGATAATGGTTTCTTGCGAAAGGTGAGCTGCAGAGTTTGAAATGGGCTTCCCTGGGTCGGCCCCCCAAGCCCGGCGAAAAATATTAAGCAAACCCACGGGATTTTAATAATATATAATAATATATATATGTATATACAATAATAAAATAAAATATAATAATATATAATTAAATATAATAATATATAATAATATATAATAATAGCATAAAATAATATATAATAATGATAATATAATATATAAATACAATAATATATGATAATTATATAATAATATATCATCGTCGTATAATATAATAATATACTAATATGATATCAGAGCTCAAACGCAATGCACTTTTTCACCGCAAATCGCGCAGATCGAAGCTGCAAGGCCTGCCAGCAACAAAGGCAGAACATGCATGGATCAAAAAAGAAGTTACACAGCTAACTGACAAGGGCAATGGCAAACTGTTTTCACACGTTGTGCAAATGCTGATTGGCAACGCTGCGCGCTGCAGACGACGAATCTCAAGATACAACGCCCACAAAGTGGCATCGGTTCCAGAAGCTGTCTTCGGCTTCACAAGCTTTGGGGCAGGAAC